GACACCATCTGCCGAGGCCGGCTTGATGTTTCACGGGACTTACCTTAACCCCAAAGAACCTACCTTTTTAAGGATTTATATAAGGAAATCATAATAAGGAACCCTCAAAAGGTAGGTTCTTTGGGGTCCAGGTAGTGCATGTAAGACTTATTGACAGCCCTACGCTAGGCCCTACACCTGCTACTAGCAACCAAGGTATATATATATATAGAACTATTTACTCGTTTTTCTCACTAAAAGCCTTACGAGATCCCTTGCGGTATCAGTTGCTAGGGCCTAAAGTCCTCAGGCACTTTACCTCCCATCTCGTGAGCCTTTCAGCGCTGATGGCTGATGCAGGGTGATGGGTTTCGGGTTCAGGGTAAAGTTTGGGGTTTAGGGTCCAGCTCGAACCTTTCTAGAGGCGGCTAAACTCACGGTTTCTTCCACTTATTCTTAATTCGTTTTGTTGTGGCATTTCCGTTCGAGTGTCTCTCTGCCAGCTTGGTTAGATGCACTAATTAAATTTTGTCAACGATACTTCATAAAGGATGTAACTTGAGAACCTGTCACGTGCTTTTCAGGACGACAGGGAAGACCTCTTCGATGCGTTCCTCGGATTTTTTCTTGGGCGCTTCCTTAGATCTCGTCTCCGAAATAAATCGTCTGGAAGTGTGGGATGACGAGATGGGGTTCCAGCCTCTTGACCTGCGTTGCGGGGATTTTATAGTTCCTGGTGCTAGGTTCACAGGGGTTGTGCAACGATTGATGGGTTAATGCCCTACGTCCTAAACCCTAGTCTCCAAAGCTGGAGCCGGGAATCCTAGAGGCACATCTTAGTGGCTGAGTAGGTAACCTTCAACATTTTGGGGCTCTTATAACCCTACTATACTTCGAAAGGTTAACCCTTTTTGGGCTAGGGTACTCAGCCCCTAAGACATAGAATCATCAGATGTGTCAAAGGGTTGTTGGATCAAGTTGCCATCCTAGGCCTAGGCGCGAGCATGTACACAAATCTGCACCCCGGCCCTGATCCCTCCAACCCCCAAACCCAAACTCCTGCAAGAGTCTCAGCCCATAAGCCCAGCCTGACAGTGCGAAGGGGGATTTGTGAAAATGTGGGGGCTGAGCATGTTGCTTTAATATAGCATGCTCAATAACCGTTAGCCCAAATTGTAAGAAGCACCCCTTATAACCTGATATAAGACTATGGCAATGTATTGAAATCTGAAAAGCCCCGTCGTGACAACTCGGTGAAAACTTGGAAACTGAACCCCAGTAAAACAGTTACAGTTCTAGAACTGAGAAGTTATACCCTAAACCCTAAACCCTAAACCCTAAACCCTAAACCCTAAACCCTAAACCCTAGCCTGGAAGCCCTATAGTCGAGGCTGGTAGAAACTGCTTGCCGCCACCTCGGCCAGCTCGAGGTGGTCGTTCTGTCGGTTTCGGCGTTTTAGGGGTTTAGGGGTTTAGGGTTTTAGGGGTTTAGGGGTTTAGGGGTTTAGGGTTTAGGGTTTGGGCCTGCTAGGGGTTTTGTGTTTGGGATTTCACTCGTTTGGTTGCCAGGGCTTGAGATTTGCAGTTTGCAGAGTCTAGTTCAGGTATAGTAGGTGTTGTGTATCTTTGTGCGACTGTTTTCCTGAACTTCTAAGACCTGCCACGAGGTCCAAATGTCAGCAGGATCGAACTGAGGAAGACTTGCGGCAGATTCTACTGTTATTGGGGAGTCTTACGACCTAGGCAAACAAGGACCAGACCGCCGCACTCGCAACTACAAGCTGCATTGAACCCTAAGCCCTAAACCCTAAACCCTAAACCCTAAACCCTAAACCTGGAGAAGCAGAAGCCAAGAGCAGGTTCTGAAGACTCGGCTGAGTGAGGAGGCGGAGTGAGGGCGGCACGAACAACCTGTCAAAAAGGTTCTGTGGCTGGAGAGCTCTCCTTCACAGCTAGCTAGTCTGCTTCATGTTCATGGAATGTACTTAGAACAGAGCCGACGACGGGCATTCAAGAACACAGACCACCGATCTGTGCGACAAGCCGAAGGTATTGAAGATATTGTCAGGAACAGGCGGAAGCTCATGTTGGGACGGGAAGGTCATAAATCTTAAGCCCTGTAAGCGCTATGGTCAAACGTTCCGGGCCCCGCCACTGCAAAGCCCCGCAGCGAAGTTGTAGCTACCCAAGCAAGCAGCGCTTCTGGTCCACAAGTGGCCCCAGTTTCAACCTGACGGCACTGATGCTTCCAGTGTGCATCGGTGGAGCAGCGCAGTCAAGCTCTGTCGGTTTTACCAAGCTATCAAAGTTGAGTGGATGGTTTCCATGCCAGTGTGTAAGGTTTAAGTAGGTGTGAGCTTTTATGGCATGTCTTGTCGTGGCGGGTTGCGTCTCAAACTGATTCATCCTCAGTCGGAGTTACTGCTTGAATTTTGCCCCCAGTTTGGGAATGCGGAACGGCAGTGGCAGTCGTCGGACGGTGTCACAAAGAATATTCTTCGTCGTAGCCTACCTTAGCCGTCGTTGTAGCCGTAGTGATAGCCGAGTCCTAGACCTATAGGTCGTAGTCGTGGTCAAAGTCGTGTCGTAGCAGTAGCAGTAGGAGGAGGAGGAGGAGGAGGAGTAGTAGTAGTAGTATCGCGTGTACGAGCGGGATTGTCCGTGGCTAGTGGCAGCAGCAGTAATGTAGGGGCCTAAATAATTACCATATTTTTTTTTTTGGGGGGGGGTCCTTATTATAAGGATCGTAGAATGGGCTCCAAAACCCTATTCTAATTATTGAGGCACCTACATTACCTGGAAGTAGCTGTAGACATCTCAATAGCAGCTACGATGTGGGGGTTTGTCGGGAATGCAGAGGCTCCTTGTAAGAAGCCGATGGGGACAAGCGCCCCACCACCAGTGAGAGAAGCCAGAGGGTTTAGGGTTTAGGGTTTAGGGTTCAGCGTGGTTGCCATGGGCTCACAACTAGCGCTTGAGCGTAAGGCCATAGTTCCGACAGCTTCAACCCAAGACCTTCAACCCCTACACCCCTAAAGTCGTGTGACCTTAGAACACCCTAAACACTGAATCCCAAACCCCGAAACACACAACCATAAAGCCCTCAAAAGCCTAAATCCTGAAACGACTAAAGCTCTGTGTTGAATTGCATGAAACTCGCAAGCCCTGAACTTCCTAAACCTAAGTCCTATGTAAACCTTCAGCTGCCTAAGCCCTAAACAAGGGTGAGCGGTTTAAGGTTCAGGGCTCAGGGTTTACATAGGGATAAAGCTTTAGGTTTGGGGTTTAGGGCTTCAGGAAATCAAAGGGCCCAACAACATAGTCGTTTCCTCATCACCCACCAGTTCCCTGAATAACCCTAAACCCCCAACCCCAAACCCCAAAGCCTAAATGTTAAATCCTTTGCTTCGGGCTTGGCAGAAAACGAACAACAAAAACCATGAAATCCTATATCAAGCCTAAACCCCGAACCCTGAACCGGAGTTGTGGAGCAAGGAACCTCCTAAGGTAAGAAGTATGGCCCCTTTCCCTGGACCCTTGTTATAGGCCTTTCTAGGGACCCTTAAGGGTACATATAGTGTAGATAGTAGGTATATAAGGATCCCAGGGTTAAGGGCCCATACTAGCGGCCCATGTCAAAACCCTAAACCCTAAACCCTAAACCCTAAACCCTAAACCCTCATGTCTCCCGCCTTAGGAACCCTCACCTGCAGGATCTCAGAGAAATTGGGATTTCATGGCTCAGGCAGCAGGGATGCGAAGGTAAGTCAGTGAGTAGAGGATGAATACTACTTGGAGGTTCATGGGTAGTTATAAGTGGGGTTATAAGTAGGGTAACCATAATTATAACCCATTTTTTTAGGGGAGTTGTAACTCCACTTGTAACTACCCATGAACCTCCAAGTAGAGCTGAGGGACTAGAGGCGGCTAGAAGACTTGTTGGGATGTATTTCTGGCTCCGAATAGCTAGTAAGTGAAGGGCTAGTTTGTATAATGACGGGGTCGTAACCTACCGTTGTGCAAGGCTCGGGTCGGGCTACATGTAGATTAGCACCAGCGGCAGTAAGTGATAAGTCAGGGTGAAAGCTTAGAATGGAATGTGGTTCAGACTTTATGGGTTACTGGGCTACATATTATCTGGTTAGTAACCTGCTATACAGGACTATTCAGGTAATTGGAGCTTGACTAGCTGAACGTAGCCTGCGACCGCTGTCATTTTCGGTGTTCTTTTGTAGGGAGCCGTGAGTATTGCGGAGTCCTGAAAGGGACCACTTGTGCAGCCCAGCCCTCTCATGGATGAGGATCCGCACACATCTGCGAATGGAGCCAACGGGTTCAAGCCTTCACAAAGGAAATGCTTGCCATTCCACGTTACTAACCCTTCCCTTCACCGTGAACTTCCAGCGCAATGCAAGAGTTCTATATTCAAGATTCAAGACAACCCTAAACCCTAAACCCTAAACCCCCTAAACCCCCTACCCCTAAACCCTAAACCCTAAACCCTAAATCCTAAACCCATTCAAGACTGGCTCTTTTCAGCTCAGGTTCGCAGATTTTGGGGCAACACCTTGCCGCATGCAAACTAAATCCTTACCGAAGCCCCTTACCCTAAACCCTAAGCCTTAAATCCTAAACCGTAAACCTTAAACCCTAAATTTGCGATTGGGGTGCTAGGCTGTTGAGTGCAGCCGTGGACAAGCACTGAAGCGATCAGCGGCTAGGACTCGGGCTTCCGGCTTGAACTGGGCCCTTGTTGGCTACGGTTAAGGGATTCGGGTTTAGGGTTTAGGGTTTAGGGTTTAGGGTTACACCTTTACATTTTTGTCATAATAAGCCCGATAAGTTATGGGAACAACAAGAATCCCAGATCTCTCTCGACCCCTCGCCCCTAAACCCTTAACCCTAAACCGTAACCCCTAACCTAAACCCCTCAACCCTAAACCCTAAATCCCTAAACCCCTAAACCCTAAATTCTAACCCGCCCGGCCACCCGCCCGACATCCAATTTGCAGCCAGATGAGGCCCTTCTCCAAAGTGAAGAGCTGCTGAAGCAGCAGGCACTGCTTTACGGGGGGTCGATGTAGGGCTATTAGGGTTTTTTGGGGGTTCAGGTTTTGGGGTTTAGGGGTTTAGGGTTAGGTTAGATCTGGGGCTGCTAACGTCTTTTCGTATGGATATCGTGAAGGGTCACCTACACTAAACCATTGTAGTAACCCTTAAACTGCTCTTATAATGACCCTTACAGTATCCCTCATGAAAACCGAATGGAACCGTTATCGTAACCCTTTAAAAGGAAGTCTTAAACAAGCATGGGCCAAAATGTCGAAGCTTTGGTCTTGGCAGAGACTGATTCCAAGTTGGACCGTAGAGAAGAAAGGCTGGACACTGTACGAGCTGGGGTTGAAAATTATAAGGGTTTGGGGTTCAGGGTTTAGGGCTTTCAACAAATCTTGCGGTGAGGACATGTCGTTTTTGGCTCTAGCCCAGCACTCCAAGATCCGTTGTTTTGCAGTTTTCTCGGTGACTTTCTTACTGGATGTTTTGACTCGCGGGCGCCTGGGGGCGGGGGGTTGGGGGAGGGAGTGATGATAGCGGTATTGCCGTCCGGAGGCTGTAGGGGCTGTGGCGGCGTGAACAACAACACATAATATAGGGGCCTTAACAATTAGAATAGGGTTTTGGGGTTCATTACACTCTAACAAGATTAATAAGGAACCCCCCAAAACAATGTAGGTAATTATTTAGGCCCCCATTTCAAGCAGCAAGTTTGCCTCATTTTCTCAGCTGCATACTGCCTGGCCAAACCTGTCATCAAAGCACTGCAGCCGACACCCCTTGGCCATCTCAAACGAAGCCTGCTGTCTAAAAAGTGCCCGCTGACTTTAACTACAGTATAGTAAATCCTCATCCTCCGGTGGTCAGCAATTCCTGTGCCAATGTGCCAACCTTCCCGGTCATTTCATATTTGACTGATCAACCCTAAAACCTAAACCCTAAACCGTACCCAATGGTATCCCCTCCATTTACTTCGGGGGATTGGGGAGAGGAGGGGTCAGAATGCAACGCGCACGATCATATGTGTGTAAGCAAGATTGGAAATGTATGTGTGTGTACATATATGTATGTATGTATATATATACACCATATGATACAGCGTAACATAACCAACCATATCATAACGTAAGATCTAAGATAGCTGAATAGATTAGAATCTATATATATATATATACTGCAACAAGATATCGTTTCAAAGCAGATAACATATGATATAAAACGTAGGATGCTTTATAGCCAAGCTTTTTTGGCCTTCTTCCTTGCTTGTCCAGTTTAGCTAAGTGTGTTTGTTGTTGCATCTTCTTTTTTTTGCCGGTGCCACCGTGTCAGGCGAAGTCGATCTTCGAACGATGTGACTTGAATCACAATGGTCGCTTGGATTCTTGAATAGTCGGGCGGAGCAGGGTTTAATATAAATATAGGGGCCCTGAATAATTACCCATATTATTTTGGGGGGTCCCTTATTATAATTGTAGTATAATGGGCCTCCAAATCCTATTCTAACTTTTAATTCCCCTGCATAAGGTAAGAAGAAATGTTTGTTTCTGATGCTGCCGCTGCTCTTTCTCCTGCGACTCTTCTGTTCCTGCGATCGCAGCTGGCGCTACGGCGACTGCTTTTCATGCATCTGCAGCCTCTAGTATAATCGCTAGTATTGCTACGACGACGACTGTTGCTCCGACGACGGCAACAAAAAACTACTGGCTCTACTACCGCTGCCGCGACTGCTACTGCTACTCCTCGTCCTCCTCCTATTCCTCATGCAACTTCACCCTAAACCCTAAACCCTAAACTCGCCGCTTCGATGGAGACCTCGGGAAGGCATCGAACCTCACAACAGCGTAGCGGGCATAGTTTGCGTTGCATTACGTACAAAGGCAACCGGTCGAACTTTGGGTCAGGACTGTGAGTGATTCGGTTCGGCACAGAGAATATAGAGGCGCCAAACTTCATCAGCAACATTATTCCTTAGGCTTAGGGTAGCTTATTACATCTCTAGCTTGCCGTCCCCCATAACCCTATTCCAATTCTCTTGGCCCCTATGTTCGTCACATTTCGTCGAAGATTCTGGAGCCTAATATAGGGGCCTTAATAATTTGAATACGGTTTGGGGTATATTACATTATTAATTATGATAAGGAACCCCCAAAACCCTATTCTAATTATTAAGGCCCCTCTATTAAACCTCAAGCACTAAATCCCTCAACCCTAAACCCTAGACCCCTAATTATTAAGGCCCCTACATTACCCCCTTTGTCCAGAAAAGGGTTTGTTTACCCACGCCGATGGCTACCCCAGACCCCAGATCAAGGAGAGTGTGAGATTTTAGGGTTTATGGTTTAGAGCTTAGGGTTTGGTCAAAGGGTTATACAGGTTTGAGGGTTTTCAGTTTAGGGTTTATATAGGGTTATATCGGGTTTAGGGTTTAGAGTTTTTAGGGTTATAATATATAGGGCTATATAGGGCTTAGGGTTTAGGTTTTAGAGTTTAGGGTTTAGGGTTATTTAAGGTTTAGGGTGGTATTATGGCCTCCGAATCAGGCCTGATTCCGCGCGATTGTCTTAGCAAGCCCTAAACCCTAAACCCTAAACCCTAAACCGGTGGTTTGTCAGATGGAGGTATGCAGGGCTGGTTGTGCAGTCCAATGCAATGCCATGTGCTTGCCCTGCCCAAATCGGTGGAGCCTATGTGTGCGTGTTAGCCGTAGGCAATGGCAGTCGTGCTTTAGTTTTGTCGCTTACAGCCATCTTGCATCTGCTGTTGCTCACACATTTGGCTCGTGCTGTGCGGGGATGGCGGCATGACGTGCATCCAGGAATGTTGCTGCATGTGCTGCTAAGATAAGTTTAAGATGAGTACGTTACCCCCCCCCCCCGCGAATAGTATCTATCCCAAGAAGCCCGATCCGGTAAAGACATGACGCCGCATACACCTTGTTGAATCTAAGGGCAGATCGAACGCGATGAGCTTCAAATGCTTTGTGAGTCTATGCATGAGAGGCCATTGGGCCATTCGCAAAGTGAAGAGTTCAGTGCTTGTTTTCTTTGGTTCAGCGTGTCGGCTCCAGAAACGACCCGTAGGGTTCAGGGCTTTGGGGTTTAGGGGTTTAGGGTTTCGGGCTTAGGGTTGAACTGTTGTGGGGTGGAGTTCAACTCAGCGCAGCTGGCTGCAAATGTTATAAAGAAAGTATCGCCTATACACCACGAACCGACTTGCCCAATCCTCGCAGTGTCAGCACTGGCAAGGATCCTATCTGAATTCGAGTCATGTTTAGCCTCCCCTGTGAGGGTAGAAACGGTGTAACTTCACTAACCCAGACTTGGGACTGTGAAGCATTTCTGTGAGAATCCTCTATAGGCTCCAAATCTCTCTGGGTCTTACATAGCCACTTGCAAAAGCTCCCCAAGCAATGCGGAGCTTCCCAGCGCAGCACCAAACTCTCATGTAGACCCTACACCCGAAACTCTAGCCCGGACACTGACATGGACCCTGCACAGGGACTCCTCTTGAGTTGAAGCAAGAGCTTCTGGTGTAGGGTTGCTGGTTTACGGGTCAATGTTGGCTTCGTCGAGGGCAACTGTCCGGCCATGGAGAAAGCTTGGTCAAGCCTTCTCAACCCCGACGTATCCCCAACCCTAAGCCCAAAACCCCATGACCCATGCAACCACAAGCCGCTAAGCCGTTGTGCCATTGTAGAGCCCTTTATTAGACTTGATATTGTAGACACCGATAGAAGAAGCCCATGCTAGCCGTAAAACCCTAAACCCCTAAACCCAAAACCCCTAAGCCCCTAAACCCCTAAACCCCTAAACCCTAAGCCCTAGGCCCGAAACCCCTAAACCCTAAACCCGAGGCCCTAAACCCTAAACCCCTAAACCCTAGGCCTTACAAGGTTCCCTAGCTGCGATTCTCGGAGGATCGGCTTGAAGTTGCTGAATCAAATCGACCTGGGTCGGCAGCTGGCGAGATTCGACGACGACTTCAGCGGTGGACTGGAGCCTTGGTTTGGGTGCAGCGTGTAGGGCTTCAGGTTTTGAGGATTTGGGTGTTTTGGGGTTTAGGGTTTAATAGGGTTTAGGGCTTTGCAGGGAGACAGGGGAGGAGGAGGGACTAGCCGATGACGTTTGAGAGGATGGAGGTGCACGTGTGGAGACATACACGCATGCATTGAATCAATGCATGTAGCGGGGCCAATAAATCATCCAAGTTGCTTGTGCATTTGGGTAGTTGTCTAAATTGGCTTCCCTTTAGGGTCCTGTTAACAGGGTTCCGTACTATTTGGGGCCTAAAAGGGGACCGCAATTTGGACCACAATATCGAGAACTACCCATTTTCCAGTGTCGCTACTTGAAATCTGCAAGGATCCCGAAGAGTTCGTCAGGCTCTACAAGCACCTTCTCCAGGACAGGCTGAGTGGAAGAGCTTTTGGGTTCGCACAAGAGCCTGTAGCTTGGATTTGGCTGCCATTTCGTCTTGCGGCTTACACAAGGCATAGGCTTTGGGATGTGCGATTTCGTTCAACTGCAGGCACACGAGCGGTTTCAGCGCGTTTAGCTGGCCGCAAACCCTGCCTGGTCCATCTGCAGAGTACTAGCTTAGCTGTGCAAAGCTCCACGACCCCAAACGTCCAAACCGTGCATGTTTTGTAGTTCATAACCTGTGCGTGGACGGACGCCATCTCGACACCCCAATTACTGACGTGACCCTAACCCCCCAGGTACCTACGATATATATATATATATATATATAGTTATATATAGGGCCCTAGAAGCTCTAGTACCCTATATAGTAGGTACCTGCGAAATAGGGTGGGTGTGCTGGAGGATGCTGTTGGGGATGCTGAAGAACGGCCGCCGGGTCCTCGGTCTGCTGTTCGCCCTGTAGATCCTCTAGCCTGCTTGCAGCCACATGGGGGTTTCCGAAAATAAGCGACCCTAATATGATACCCTAAATAGTAGGATCCTTATTATGAGGCCC